CCGCCTCCTCCTCCTCCTCCTCCTCCCTGGATGAAATTGAAACGGGGCCTGCCCTCGCCAGCGTAAGCTCGTAAAGCAGCTATATGTATATATTGAATACAAATGGACGGGGTGCAAACGAGGCAGGGTGAAAGAAAGCCCCGGCCCTGGGGGCTGACCCCGAGCCCTGAATCCGTTCAACCTAATAGTAGGGATCGAGGCGAACATGAAAAGCTCGGCCGATCAATTAGGTCCAGAAGACGGGAATATTTTAGAAATTTCGTTGGGAATCGGGTTATCGATGACGAGATACTTTGCATTCCGGGTTATTTCTTTTTTATCCCTTTTTGATTCTCCAATTCTTTGCAACAATTTACTTTTTCATTTACCTTGTTCTCGATATTTTAGTTTAGTTATTCAATTTCGTTATTTCCTGATTTCAGGGTTGGTAATGGTAATGAATGGTATTAAAATTGTAGCTTAGAATTTATGTGAATAATTGTAATTGGGATAATTGTCAATTCTAACGAAATTGAAGGATGATCGTTCTTGACAGTCAGACTTTGGAAGCAATAAATTTGGCTCGAAAATAAATATAATATCTTTGGATGAAATTTTGAAAGCGATACTTACTTTTTCTCGCGTTTCCCCGCCCCCGTGTCCCGGAATCCCTTCGCAAACGGATTGTTGTCGATCTTCAATTGGGTGATCTGCAACAAAAGAAAATTACCATCAATACTGGATCCACATTAATAACAACAATAACAACATAAATAAATAATTGACAACAACAAAATATATCGATATCAACGATAACAATTTATTCCACGATTAAACGAACATTTACTTTTCAAACATTTACCACCTAACTGTTTCCTAACAGAAATATATTCCTTCAATTACCAATTACAGAAGAAAAAAATGAAGAAGAATAGCAGCTTGCAGTTTTTTCATAATATTTTCCAATTCCCTCTTCTTTTCGATCATCGAATCCCGAAACGATTACGAGGAATCGGCGGGATCCCGCGAAACAACGCGAGCGGGATCCGGGACGGGTTTCGAGAAAGGCGGAGGGGCCTCGAAAAGATCCACAAAGCCGATATATTTCTTCCAGCAACGCAAGATACCGGGAAGTGGCGGAGATAACGGTAAAGAGTGAAATCGCGTGACGAAAAATCCGGACAAGGGGTCCCTTTTGCGCGAGCGCCACCTCGGGGGAATAATGCGTACCGGGAACCACCGATACTTCCTTGAATACCATTCCAATACGAGAGAAACGATCCTAATTAATCGATGAAAAGAATCATGCTATCTATTCCCTCTCCTCTTTCTAATTCTTCTCAATTGATTCTCGATCCAAGAGTTTTTCCTCTCTTTATTATTGGGGGGGATGAAATAATCGGGATATTCTTTCTGTTTTACTCGAGAGAAACTTGTTGATCGAACTATCAAGATCGGCAACAACCGTTAATTGCATTAACATTTTCTTTGGTTAATATCCGTGTTGTAATTATACGTATAATTTCTAAAAACTTTGACAATCGATATATAAATAATAATAATAACTTTCCAATGAAACAACATTGGATATTAATTAATTCTATATCGATCCATCGAGAAGGAAGGATTCGATATCGACATTTCCCTTCCCCCGCAGATTCTAGAAAAAATTCCCTACATAAATCCGAGAAAGTCTCCAGACGACGATTTCCATTTCTCGAAACTTTTTTATCTTCCGTGCGTTTCCCTCCCTTCCATAAAGAAAAGAAAAAGAAAAAAAAAAAAAAAAAAAAAAAAAAAAAAAAAAGAACAGGAGTCGATCTCCCATTCGAGCGAAACTTCCCTCCCGACAAAAGGCCATAGTTCGATCGAGAATTTCTGGGACCAAAGTCTGTAGCCAGGCTAACGAGTTTCTCTCTAACGGATCTACCCCCCCTCCGGACGCCAGACGAGAAGAAAATGCCGGAATCGTAGCTAGAGATAGAAGAGACGACGTACGCTCACCTTCTCGTTCTGATAGGCGGTGACCGCGATGAATTCCGTCTCCTTGAAAACGTAACTCCTGAACGTGGAGTAGGGAAGCTTCAAGATGTCGTTGGCCCGCACCAGGTGAAACCTTGGCTGATACTTGTGCATCGAGTTCAATATCGTCTGGAAAAAAATCATCGGACCGTACATTGGGACAGACTGTTTCAGCGCAGAGCCCGTGCTCGCAATAGTCTCTCGCTCGCACGCATATGCACACACATATACTCTTTCTCTCTCGAGTTCTTTTATATTCGTTTCGAGGAACCGAACTGGCTGCACGAGGGAAGCGCTTCCTGTGCACATGCGTATCAACACTGTTGGAAATGATATTAAATTATTGGAGGAATCTTGAGAAAAAACTTAATTAATTATTATTATTATTAAAACATCATCTCTAATTGGCTAATTTCCTTTTCTTGACCAACGTTGATAATTCACTTTCTATAAAGACAGGATTAAGATCGATCTTAACATTTTTTCCTGTAAGGTTGGAACGAGATCACGAGATCTAAATCTAGGAGATGATTGTAATAAGGAAAGTTTTATCGAGAAAGAAAATGCAAAGGAAGGAGAATAGATAATTTGGTTTTGCAGCCAGTCTCGATTTCACTCTTTCTCTCTCTCTCTCTCGCATCGACTCACACATGGACGAATATCACTGGACGAACGATTCGAAGCGTTCCTTCAAATTTCTTTCCCCGCGAAACGAAACTTTCCGTGGAATCAAATTACACGCCGGTTGCATTATGTATATATATATATATATATATATATATATATATATATATATATATATATATATATATATATATATATATATATATATATATATATATATATATATATATATATATATATATATATATATATATATATATATATATATATATATATATATATATATATATATATATATATATATATATATATATATATATATATATATATATATATATATATATATATATATATATATATATATATATATATATATATATATATATATATATATATATATATATATATATATATATATATATATATATATATATATATATATATATATATATATATATATATATATATATATATATATATATATATATATATATATATATATATATATATATATATATATATATATATATATATATATATATATATATATATATATATATATATATATATATATATATATATATATATATATATATATATATATATATATATATATATATATATATATATATATATATATATATATATATATATATATATATATATATATATATATATATATATATATATATATATATATATATATATATATATATATATATATATATATATATATATATATATATATATATATATATATATATATATATATATATATATATATATATATATATATATATATATATATATATATATATATATATATATATATATATATATATATATATATATATATATATATATATATATATATATATATATATATATATATATATATATATATATATATATATATATATATATATATATATATATATATATATATATATATATATATATATATATATATATATATATATATATATATATATATATATATATATATATATATATATATATATATATATATATATATATATATATATATATATATATATATATATATATATATATATATATATATATATATATATATATATATATATATATATATATATATATATATATATATATATATATATATATATATATATATATATATATATATATATATATATATATATATATATATATATATATATATATATATATATATATATATATATATATATATATATATATATATATATATATATATATATATATATATATATATATATATATATATATATATATATATATATATATATATATATATATATATATATATATATATATATATATATATATATATATATATATATATATATATATATATATATATATATATATATATATATATATATATATATATATATATATATATATATATATATATATATATATATATATATATATATATATATATATATATATATATATATATATATATATATATATATATATATATATATATATATATATATATATATATATATATATATATATATATATATATATATATATATATATATATATATATATATATATATATATATATATATATATATATATATATATATATATATATATATATATATATATATATATATATATATATATATATATATATATATATATATATATATATATATATATATATATATATATATATATATATATATATATATATATATATATATATATATATATATATATATATATATATATATATATATATATATATATATATATATATATATATATATATATATATATATATATATATATATATATATATATATATATATATATATATATATATATATATATATATATATATATATATATATATATATATATATATATATATATATATATATATATATATATATATATATATATATATATATATATATATATATATATATATATATATATATATATATATATATATATATATATATATATATATATATATATATATATATATATATATATATATATATATATATATATATATATATATATATATATATATATATATATATATATATATATATATATATATATATATATATATATATATATATATATATATATATATATATATATATATATATATATATATATATATATATATATATATATATATATATATATATATATATATATATATATATATATATATATATATATATATATATATATATATATATATATATATATATATATATATATATATATATATATATATATATATATATATATATATATATATATATATATATATATATATATATATATATATATATATATATATATATATATATATATATATATATATATATATATATATATATATATATATATATATATATATATATATATATATATATATATATATATATATATATATATATATATATATATATATATATATATATATATATATATATATATATATATATATATATATATATATATATATATATATATATATATATATATATATATATATATATATATATATATATATATATATATATATATATATATATATACGTTCGTTCGTACAGTACAATTACGCCGCAGTGATGGGCCGCGTGCACAATACGCGAGCCACAGCGGGAAGGGGAGGAGGAGAAAAGCGGTGGATGCGAGGAGACACGAATTCTAGTAGGGATATTTATCATGCTGCACGGGATTCCGAAAGAGATATTTCGCAAAGCGGCATAATAATCGTTGCGTCATGCAGCGGTGATCGGGCAAAACTTGTAAACTCGTTCCAAAGCTCGTCTTTCTTTCATTCGTAGAACCGGCGTCCACGACGACGACGACGACGACGACGACCATCATCATTTCCTACGCCGATCATCTCGATTTCTCTATTTTACATCACCGACATTATCTTAGTTAGCCTTCAATTTCCTCCACGATTTAAATTATTCACGTAACCTAACGATCGTTCGTTATCGACTTGTCTTAAATCAACAAGGAAAGAAGAATAAAGAAAAGAGGAAGAAAAAAGGAATCTATCACGCGCAAGGATAATCCGGTTACCCTCCATCTTTTTTCTTGATTTCAACAGTATCTCGAAACGTCCTTTTCTTTCAATTTTTACGAATCCTGGAAGGGGATCGATTAATTAATTTATATTCGATATATTAAATAATAATTATTCATATATATTGTTTTTAAAAAGAAAGAGACATATCCAATCTTTTTTTCATTCTCATTTCAACAGTAACGTTCAACAGTATCTCGAATTGTTGATTCTTTTTTCTTTGAATTTTTACAAATCCTGAAGGAGGTTAAAAATCTATCAATTCGATGGGGGTTGAAACGGGCATGTACATCCACAGGATCTACTCTGTGCCTGTTTTAAAAAAAAGAAAGAGAGATATCCAATCTTTTTTGATTCTCATTTCAACAGTAACGTGGATTCTTGAAATCTTTTCTTTCAACTTTTATATCCTGAAAGAGGCTCGATTAAAATTATTTTATTTTTTTCAATATATATATTGAACACGCGATATTTTATCTTTAAAATAAATGGTACCCAAAATTTTCTTTCGAGAAAAGAAACATTCGACGACACTTTGAAAATTTATCGATTCGATAGTTGAAATGTTGATTCTGAAATTTTTTCTTTCAATTTTTAAATCTTGAAGGGGGCTCGATAAAACAATATATTATATATATATATATTGAATAGACATGCGACATTTTGCTAATAAACGATATCCAAAATTTTCTTTCGACGACATTTTGAAAATCCATCGATTCGATGGTTGAAACGCGCATCCATAAGATCCACTCTGTGCGAGCCTGTTTTTAAAAAAAAAGAGAGATCGATCCAATCTTTTTTCAATTCTCATTTCATTTCATCTTTTTTTCCAAATTTTACAAATCCTGAAGATTAAAATTAATTTATATTCAATATATTATATATATCTTTTACCTATAAAATAAACGTATCCAAAATTTTCTTTGACGACACTTTGAAAATCCATCGATTCGATGGTTGAAACGCGCATTTATAGAATTCAATCTTTTTCGATTCTCAACAGTAACGTATCTCGAAAGTAGATTCTTGAACTCTTTTCTTCCAAATTTTACAAATGCCAAAGGTGGCTCGATAAAAATTAAGTTACACTCAATATATCACATATATATATTTATCTATAAAAATTTTCTTTGGAGGAAAGAAACATTCGACGACCCTTTGAAAATCCATCGATTCGATGGTTGAAACGCGCATTTATAGAATTCAATCTTTTTCGATTCTCAACAGTAACGTATCTCTAAAGTAGATTCTTGAACTCTTTTCTTCCAAATTTTACAAATCCCAAAGGTGGCTCGATAAAAATTAAGTTACACTCAATATATCACATATATATATTTATCTATAAAAATTTTCTTTCGAGGAAAGAAACATTCGACGACACTTTGAAAATCCATCG